CGAAGGTGACGAGGCTAGAAGGGACGGAGGGACGCTCAGGTCTGAACCTCTGTCTCCAAGAGCAAGAAGGATGGCCGAGTCGGTGCTAGACACGCCCCGGGGCCGAGAGATGTTTAACCAGTTCCTCGCGCGGCTGGCACGCCAACCAGCGCCGAGCGAAGAGCCGGCTTCGGCAAGGACGACGACGGGCGAGACGGCGGAAGCCGTAACGTCGACCCCGAGAGCTCGACAGAGAGACGCGTTCTCCTTCGATGCATCGAGGCCGTCGCTACCTCTTGTGGGCGAGACGCAAGGTGAAGTACAGACGGTAACGTCAGCCGGGGCAGCGTTAAACGCGAGAGGAACGACGAGACTCACTCCTCCGCGAGCGGCAGAACGCCTCGATGTGGCAAGAACACCGTATTCGGAGGGTGGCACGCCTGGGAGGCAAGGAGAAACGCCTGCTAGGGTGGCGGAGACGCCGACGAGAAGGGCAGGAACACCGACGCCGGACTCTGCGTTGCAAGAGATGTTGGTCGACACGTTCAGTCGGGCACTTCAGAGACTGTCTGCCTCGGCTGGAACGCCGAAGAGAACGCCACGACCTACGGGGGTGAGGCCGATGCCACGCCCTGTGTCGACGTCCACCGGGAATGCCCTCGTCGGTCAGACTCGACCGGCTAGTGCGCCGATGCTCGGGTACCAAGGTTCGACGGCTCCCAGAGTGGCGTTACCGGCGCCGGCTTCGACGCCGGTTGGAATGCCGATGGCCGCGATCCCGTCGTACGGTGGCGTAACCATACAGGCGCCGAGCACCAGCTGGAACGAGGGAAGGGACGGCACGGCTCGCCTGGGTGCGCTTTATCCGCCGTTCCAACCTCCGATAACGCCCACAGCTGGATGGAGCTCGGGTGGAACGCTGCCAGCGTGGTCAGCTGCCCCTGCGACTCAGACGCCTGCGAGCGTGGGAGGTCTAGGGCTTGGTAGGAGTTTTAGTGGTCAAGGAGGAGGTTACCCGACGCACTCGGCGTACCCTCAAAGACCCATGGTGAGTCGAACGCTTGGCCATAGTGGTGATTATGCGGCACGAGAAATTGGAACGCAACC